AGTGATATCTCCAAACCATGCCAGGAGAAAAAGTTAACAATAATATTTCCAGAGCAAAAACATCTACTGAATGCTAGATCTGAAATAATGTCACGATTCCTACACACTAAAAAGTACTTTTTTGAGATCGTGCGAACCAGGATGAAAGTATGTACATTTTATTTACTCCCCCTCCAATACAATCTCTATAATATTGCTTTACTCCTCCCCTTCTATTATATTCACGTTGTGCGTTTATATATAAATAATAAAGTGTTAGGCAACCATTTGATCTATATTACCTGAGGATACCGAAAGGTTGAAACCAAGGTAGCGTGATTGGCTAATCTCCTAATTTTTTAAACACACACACACACACACATATATATATATATATATATATATATATATATATATATATATATATAAACCGAACAATGTTGATGTGACCAACAGAAAACTTGGCAATAATATCTTCGACAAAGCAAAAATCCTGAAAAAAAATGAAAGACCTAAGTCCGCAGTCAATTAAAGTGTTCAATGCCTAGAGTATCTAGACAGACCCAAAGACGCTCCACAGTGTCAACACTCAACGAAGGACAATTTGAATCGCTATTCAAGTTTCACGTTCTCTCGCTCTTCAGGCGACTAGAACGAACATTCTAGCACTTGGAAATCTAGAGAGTCTGAAACTTGAGTAGTGACTCGAGCTATCCTTCGTTCAGTTTCCATCCACCCTATATATATATATATATATATATATATATGTGTGTGTGTGTGTGTGTGTGTGTGTGTGTGTGTGTGTGTGTGTGTGTGTGTGATAAAATATAGTTTTACAACATGCTATATTTATGGGTTAAGTGCTCAATATCAGGGATAGAGCGTATGTAAATATAAAAGTGAATATATGTGCGTGTGTGCGCGTGTGTGTGTGTGTGTGTAAAAGTGGACACCGATATCAACACTCAGAGGCGACTGTCTCATCTCATCTTTAAAAGCAATCGTCAGGCCTGACGATTTCGTTTGAGCATGAAACAAACTGTCGCCTCTGGGTGTTGACTTCAGTGTCCATATATATATATACATAGATAAGTGGGGGGGAGAGGGAAGGGAAGGGGAGGAGTGTGGAGTGAGGGGTAAGGGAAGGGGGAAAGAAAGACAACTAACCAAGGAGCACGAACTAAGAACCTTACTCAACAAGTATAAAAAAAAATTATCTCTGGTGGGGGTTATTGAGTCTGCTGCAATTCTGCGTCTTTCGCAAGGAATATGCATCAAGTTTTACTTTATTTTTGATCATTAGTCGGCGAAAATTGTTCGAAACATTTAGAAGGTTTTTTGTGGAGGATCCAAAATGCAAATCGCGGAGAAAATATCAATAGCGAAACTTCAAAGTCGGCAGAGAACCCACTAAGTGTGATCCACGTATTTGAATTGACTTCAACAAGTGGAGCCCCTGAAAATGGGCTGCAATCTAAGACGTTCGACAATTGTATACTTAGAAGATCCTAAATTCGAAAATTATTCAACGATTTTGAAAATCTCAACGGCCTAGGTTCATGTTATTCGCTAGAGAATTCGTGAGAAAGTGAATGCAACATGCCAGACTGCAATTTGAACTCGGTTCCCTTTCCGTGACTGTGACGATTACGTTACCCGCACTTATTGACCATCGTTCCACCAATATAGTAATGCTAAAAACTGCTCAATTGTTTTCCCATCTTTTATGTATCGAAGCTCAGTACTTAACTGATTTGAATGCGATAGATCTGAAGAAGAGTCAACTGACAAACTAAAATAACCAGAACGAATCGCTTCACTTTCGTCAGAAATGAATACGGGAACCTGTGGCGCCATTTGTTCAATAATTCACACTTAAGTGGTTTTGTTCAGATAGAATTTCCCTCTTCTGAATGAGTAAATATGATCTGCTAAAAATATAACAAACTTACGAGTTAAGTAATCTTTAAAAACATTCATTCTGCACTGGAACAAAGTTAAATTTTACCTAACTCTAACAGCTCAATGGGTTTTTTTTCCAGTAAAATTAACTCTGGACAGGGCCCGAGAGTGACTCGATGTAGAGGATTACAGAGTAAGAGGCACAGTTTATGTGTGGAATATAACGGTCAACCCTACACTTGAACAGGTTAAGATTGTAGTGAGCGGGGAAACATGATCTCGGGCGTCGGATTCAAAGAGTAGTGGGTCGAGTGGAACTTACATCTCATCAATGGAATACTGAAGGAACGAGGCTATTCGCTGCAATGCATGCAGCCTGGCGGTCCTTCCCGTGAAAGTCAGAAATGGTGGAACTAAGAAATGTAGTTCGTCTGAAATAACAAGCTTATTACTTTCAATAACTCGAAAGCCAAACCAATATCATCACTCATTGAGCAGCACCCGCCCAGCCCTGATATGGCAGCAACACTCCATCTTTGGCCTGATCTAACTCTTGTAAAGATATAATATGGTATAAGGAATCAGATACTTCCTAGAGCAAAATAGTGAGCTGACAATTTTTCCAGCCTCTTTAGCAATGGATTGAAAATATGAATTCCATTTGAGGTCTAGAGGGAACTTGAGTTCGAATAGACCTTCAAGGCAAACTTCCCATGACCCAATACTTTGTGGAACAGGCTCCCATGATTATGCTTTCACAATCTACAATCTTAACATCTTCAAGTCTAGGGTTAATCGTTAACTTTTCCCACATATCCTCATAACCTACACTTCTTACATCTTACTCTTACGGATCATACAGCAAACGTACATAGATACGCAGTTTCACAAAACTTGTGTTAATTGAATTGCAAACCGTGGGTACGATTTTCCCAAGAAGTTATGGCAATAACACACAATGGAAACTGTAGAGAACTGTGATTACCTTTGTCCTGAAGAAATTTAAGAATAATGGTGAAATTGGAAAACCATATTATAATTTCTGCTGAACCTACACCTATTCCCTTTGAAATTTCCTTAGAAAAGACATGAATCCACAAACACTGTACACTCTGTCCCATCAGTAGAATGCCATCTGACCACCATCAGATCCCATTGATTTAGCTGATATAGGATTATCTGTTGATTATTGTGTTCCTACGATTTCCAATTATTGTTCGTTTCATCTGAATCTGTGTTCCACTTCCTGATCTATGGATCGAACTTATGACTATTAGATGACAGTAACACATGTTTAACCAACTATTATAATCACTACGCGAACTAAAATGTATTTCTTGGGCATTTATATTCAATATTAAATTTGCCAGATGCCTTCAACGATTAGTTATCATATCCGCACTGGTTTTCAATAATTCTACATTTCATTTTACGATGAGTAATTGTCAATATACTGTGAGTAACTAGCATAACAGAGACAAAAAATAATAATAATAAATAAATATCCCATATCAGCCGAAACACAAGACACCGGATGATGACCAGAAGATCCATCCATCTTGCGGCATCAGCCGAGATTGAACTCACCAATACTTTGATTGGTGCAGTTCATAATCTTGTCAAATAGCTGAATTCTTGATGCTTCGCTAGGGCTATCAAGGGTGTTTTTTATCGTGAAACCAACACTAAATGGATTGCCAACCAAGGCTCAGAGAGACTCCATTCACCCTCCTCTAAGAGCAGGTTTGAATTCAGAGTTTTCCTTCTCCTAGACCAGTTGCAATCTAAGGATATAGAACCCAGTCTGTCCTGCTATTTACCCATAGCTGGAGGGAGAAGAAAGAGGATTCACACCTTTCCCAAGGGTGTTAGCACGTAAGTGAATGTAATGGATTCGACTGGAATTCGAACTCGGCTCTCCGATTCCTCAATCCAACCCGCTATCCATTACTCCACCGTATAATAACATCGATAAAAATCAAAATGAAAAAAATAGTTCGTAATAATAATCAAAGTATAATAATCAAAGTATAATAATCGAAGTATACTGACCCATTGTCATCTTTAATAATTCTGACAGATATCTAGATAGGTGATGTTTTGGGTATGACAATAAACTACGTCCGCGTCCTGGGTAAGACGATAAACTACATCCGCGTCCTGGGTAAGACGATAAACTACGTCCAACAGCAAGGCCTCTGATCAGTAGGCTTTGAGGAGCGTGGAACCTTCTCTTAATTGCTTGTGTTTCCAGGTTCACCTTGATTTGAGGTGGTAGCACCTTTTAGGGTCCCAGCTATGGGAAAATAGTTAACCCCTAAACTGGGCTCAAAACACTATGAAAGTTTAAAAATAGATTTTAATACCAGAAATACTTTTTTTAAAAATCATTACCAGCAATAAATTTTTGAAGAAAAAATTATTACCAGAAATACATTTTAAAAAAAATATTATATTATCAGCAATACATTTAAAAAAAAAAATTACCAGCAATAGATTTTTGAAGGAAAATATTACCAGAAAATAGATTTTTGAAGGAAAAAATATTACGAGCAATATATTTTTGAAAAAAAAAAAAAAATTGCTAGCAATAAAAATTGTCGACAGTAAATAACCTATGGAGGTTGATATGTCGTAAAACAAAACAAACGAAATCAAACTAGATAGGTGAAACTGAAAGACTGTATATTTGGTATCATGATAACTTCCAAAAATAGAAAATGTTGAAATTTGTATTTTAAGCGTTATGGACTGGAACAATGAAGTAGCAAGAATTGAATAAATCAAGATATTCACACACATTGGTTTTCTCTTTTGAAGATTTATCCTCTTCAATCTACAGACACTTTAAGATCCAGTGTCGCACGTTGTCCGTACTTTGTGGGCATTCCTTCTCCTTTTCCGCTGGTCTTTAATCAGTTAGTATGGTTGGGTGTCAAACTCACTTTAGGTAACGGTCCGGATCAAATGGCTAAGCAAAGAACGCTCGGCACACAGAAACTGATTAGAATAGACAGGTAATACGATTTAATTGAAAATGTCAGTTGTAATAACGATGCGTAAGATAACCAGTTTCGACATTTTCTATTGTTAGAACAATGATCGCCGTTTTGCATAAGATGCTCTCATATCTCTCTCTCTCTCCAACTCTCACACACAGGCTGGCGCGCACGCACAAATCCACACACACCTGTTCTCTCTCTCTCTCTCTCTCTCTCTCTCTCTCTCTCTCTTTCATACCGTTTCTATCTTTCTGTTTCTTTTTATCTCTTTCTCTTTCACAGACATGTATACACATACGTTTGTGTGTATGTGTATGCGTGTATGTGCGTGTATATGCGTGTGATTCTCAGATCACACTCTTATAAGTGCCGCCCAGAGCAAGACAGACACAGACACATACACACACGCACTTGCGCATTATATATATATATATATATATATATATATAGGAATCAACATTGCATGGTGACTGTCAGTTTCACGCTTCAACATTTCCAAGTTTGGCAGTCGCAATGAAGCCTGAACTGACATTCAACCATACAATATTAATTCCTGTGCTCTCTCGCTCTCTCTCACACACACACACACACACACACACACACACACACACACACACACACACACACACACACACACACACACACACACACAGAGACGCTCATATATTTATGAATTGTGTGCATTTGAGTAGCAATTTTTCATTTTTACACCTTAGATTTAAAAACAACAAAATATATACTTTAGCTTTCCGGCCAGAAACCTTAAGACTTGGGTTTCAATCCCACTATAGTCGATTTTTCAACGAGTTAATTTTGATAATATCGACTTCAAAGACGATCCAATCGTGTAAAGTCTTAGATAAGTGCCTGAAAACAATACCACGCGAGATGAGGGGAAAATTTTTTGAAAGCTGTCGGTCATACTTCTTTCTCCTAAAATTGTTCTTCCTATATAAAAAATAAAATTACGTATCGTTATCCCATATGTATATATTTGGGCAGCAACCTTTCTTTTAAACATCTTTTGTTAAATATGAGAGGCAAGTACAATTTTACTATTTTTTTTTATTATTTTTCCAGCGTTCTTCCATTTTTCTGTTTGGTGGTAGTGATCGATTACAAAATCTGTTTAAATCGTCTGGGCGTGACAGAATTAGAAATAGAAACCTCATTAAGGAGCGAGAACAAAATAGGAGTAATCAGGAAGACGGCAGATAGCGATTGACATTGCGTTTAAATTTTTGAAGATTAAATTTGCCTCGAAAGCATAGAATCAGAAGGGCGTTCCACAAGTGATAAGTGTGAGAAAAGAAACAACTAGCATAGAACTTACGGTTATATCAAGCCAACTCAACTGTAGATTGTAAAAAAGGTAATAACTAGTTGGTGCAGGGTGAGGTTAATATGATGGAAGGGTAAAAGAAACCAACCGATTTAGTGGTTTATCATCAACAACTGGCGTGGGCAGACAATGTCTTTTCTCTACGCGTACTAAATAGCAATTCAGGTTTTTATCTTTCTTTCATCTCATTGGGTGTCACGTGACAATCGAAACCTCGTCTTAACTAAAGGTGGATAATCGCCCTTCGTCTCCCAACACAATTTCCTTGTATCTAATAAATTCTTTTTAACTCTCTCAAGAAAAATAAATACTTCTTTTGCCATCCTTATAGGTATATTCCGGGTGTAACAGCAAAATTGTCCAAATCGTGTTACAGCATAATTGTCCATCCCACAACATGTTTAATATCTAATAAAAGACCCTACTAAACTGAGTTTCCTTTTTCTGGGTTATCAGATAAGACGTTTAGATATCTTGGTACAATTTGTCACAAGAATCATTAAAAAAATCCTTTGTGTTAGCTAGAAAGAGAACAGACTAAAATCATTTTGTGCCAGCCCCACTGTCTTCTCAACTGGGAAATGGTGAGAGGAAAAATTATTCAGGTATTCAGTAATGGTAGCAACATCCCTAATATGGCTTCCATCTTCAAAATCCATTCAAGAACTATCAAGAGAACGTTAAATAAGTTTTAAAAAGAGGGAACAGTAGAGAGGAAAACTGGATCAGGAGGTCACAACAGGAAGAGGGATCATCATTTCAATTTAGAGATAAAGCGATCAATTAGAAAACTCAATTCATAAAAATATATATATATGTATTTGAACATTATTACAATCATTCATGAGCTTCCGATCCTTAATTAATGATGAACACGTCATGTAATTTTCGTTGATGATCGAGTTCATCACAATTCTTCTGTTGTTTGGAGAGTAATTATACATTGTTATTGCTTAAAGTAGAGTCCAATAGTGTTCTAAAAACCAACCTCGGAGAATTCCAGTAAAATAACTTTAATCATTTCTAACATACAATGGTTCAAAGCTTAATCTAACAATTGGAGAATATTACTGTTACTCCTGATATATATATATATATATATATATATATATATATATATATATATATATATATATATATATTAATAGTTACTTAAGTTTATATATACTAAATCAGAAAAATATTTATATATATATATATATATATATATACATATATATATATATGGGAAAATATATAGAAAATATATATAATATATATATATATATATATATATATATATATATATATATGCCTTGGTTTGAAGTGCATTTATTAATATAAACTTCTTAGCACTGTCTATCCACATTGAGCACTGTTTTATTTACACCTTATATTAAATTAACTAAATACGTATTCTCTTACCTGTGTATGCACGCTAACGTTCGTATATACAGCTGCTAATATCTAATTTTCTGTCGCACTTATACTCAGTGATTTACTTCAGCATTTACTCTTGCGAACCGCGTCTGATTTTATACAATCAATGTAGTCCTTTCGAGTTTCTAAATATACAGCCCTTTTAAAATATATATATATATATTTTTTTTAATTTTATCTTTAAGCCGTAACCCTCTAGGGTCGTTTGGTCACCACATGTGCCACCGCAGCTGTAGCAGTGATGATTCCTGGGTAAGAGAGCCTGACGGAGCACAACACTCTCCAGGCTGGTTTTGAATACAGAATTTTTCCTTTTCCTAGACCGATTGCCACCCATAATATGTTGCTGCTACATTGGTATTAAATTTTCTTAAGTGTTTGTTGGTTCATTTTGATATGAAGAGCCTTGAAAATGCCATTTTACATTTCTACCAATTCCTGGTCAGCTCCCTTATAGTGAAACGATTGCTTTTTAAAAAAAAATTCATAACTGCAAGGGCTAAATTATAAAGTTCTAAAATAACACTAGTACACTCGTGCGGGTTTTTAAAAATCGACACTACAACTGAATGCAGATTTTATCGCAGTTACAATAGCATGTTTGTCATTATAATTTACCCCTGAAGATGAGCTTAGTAAATGTCAAAAGTATTTGGATTAAAAGAAAAAAACTACGACGTCTTCCTTGATGAATTTCATCTCACCGTCAAGAAACTGATTAGACAACTGGAAAGGATTAGGATAAAAATAATTAGACACAATATGTCTTATTCAATGAAACATGGTTTGGTCTGGTTTGTTGTACGGCATATCAATCTCAAAGGGTTATTTAATACCAACAATTTTATATATATATATATATATATATATATATATATATATATATATATATATATATATATATATATATAATAAAAAAAATGTATTCTTTGTAATAAAATCACTTTGTTTAATTTGGTTTGGTTTGTTTTATGGCATATCACCTTCAAATGGTTATTTAATACCGACAAGATTTTAATTGCTGGTATGTATTGCTGCTAATATATCCTTTTCTTTCAAAAAAATATATTGTTGGTAATATTTTTTTTCTTCAAAAATATATTGCTGGTTAATATTTTTTCCTTCAAAAATGTATTGCTGGTAACATATTTTTCTTCAAAAATGTATTGCAGGTAATAATTTTTTACAAAAACGGATTGCTGGTATTAAAACATATTTTTACATTTTCATAGTATTTTGACCCCTGTTTGGGGATTAACTATTTGCCCATAGCTGGGAGCCTAACAGGTGCTTAGAGTAGACCTGTGGACACCAGCAATTAAGAGGTACTTCCACGTTCCTCAAAAACTCCCCATCAGAGGCCGTGGTGTCAGATGTAGTTTATCGTCATACCCAGGACGACAATGAAACATGTTTGAATGAAGATATATATATATATATATATATATATATATATATATATATATATATATTCGAAAATATATATATATATATTCGAAAATTATAACATAAATATGTTATAAAATCACTACAAAAATAGCCATATATCTATATATATATATCTGCCTGATAAGATGCCATGTTGTGCATCGAAATAAATATGCATTTTTGTAGCAGTAATATGCATGTTCTTATGTAATAACCTATAATAATGAATATATATATATATATGTGTGTGTGTGTGTGTGTGTGTGTGTGTGCGTGTGTGTGTGTGAAAATATATAGAAAATAGGAAGGAACTGATTAGGTAAATAATCCAAAGTTCCTTAGTATTTTAGTTATTATTTTTTAAAAATAGTGCTCGATACAAAAGTAGAGCATAAATATAATTATTTATTTAAAATCATATTTTTTAATAAATAATTATATATATATATATATATATATATATATATATATATATATATATATATATATTTCATTTATTAATCCGACATATATTAATTTATTGTTAAATGTTATTTTAATGTATACCAATATTTAAGTAGATACTCTGTTTATTTATTAAACAGTATATTTATTTTCATCTACCGGCCTGAATATTCGCGAAATATGAATAAATAAATATACTGTTTTATGTATAAAGAGTATCTACTGAAATATGGGTATCAATGAAAAATAACGTTTAAGCTATATATATATATATATATATATATATATATATATATATATATATATATAAAAATTGTATTTTAGATATAAATAAATAATGTATTTAGCAAATTTTTCACAAATCAATTTTCGTAAGGGGAAATTACTCAAATATTTTTTTCTGATTAATCTCCCTTGCAACACTGCATGATTAATTTTGATTTTGAAATAAGTTATTAAATATTTGATAATAAATCTTATTTTTTTTATTCCTATTGGATAATGGTTGACGTATTTATAATTTTTAAAAACGTAATTATTTACTACAATTTGAATAGAAGCATCTTAAATCCACTCATGATTTTACTATATCAAAAATTTTAAAAATCTCTTTTTGTGAAGAATATTAATGCAATGGTCGGGCAATTAAATTTGCCAGACGGCATTCAAATTTAAAATTCTGTAATTCATTTATAAACTTTTCATTTATTGTTTGCATATCGGCACTTTACTGCCTATACGATATCCTACCCCAAATTTTCGTGCGTGTGTATTTTCGTGCACGTCTCTGTATGTTGCAAGGACGTGTAGAAAAAGATTTAGAAGAATAAAGAACAAGATAAAAACAAACGAAGTGTCGGATGTTTTGTGGATCGGGTCGATTCCTATGGAAGAGCAATAAGAGATGAGAAATATTCTACATCAGCACAGCTGCCACCAACATACTTCTATAGCAAGTAGAACTTAATCTTGAAGGTTCAAGAGTCAATTTCAAAATTAAAACGGAAGTTGATATCACTATCATCAGTAAGTCAAGCTGTATATCCCTTGAGGAGTCAAAAGTTTCTCCAGTTGAGAATATTATTCTGTCAAACCCTGGGGGAAATCATAGATGTCTTGCGACAGTTTAGAACTGAATCATACTCGAAGATAGATGTTACCATCTATGCCATCAATCGTGAGGTTTATAATCTGCTTAACACTGGAACACGTCATCTGCCAAAGAGCTGGTAAAAAGAAAGGTAAAGCCTCGCCTTCAGGGCCATCAAGCAGTAAAAACAAAAGAGGGGACAACTTCATACAGTGTCGCTACAGTGAGATGCGTATTGCCCATACCTCTCCAAGAAAAGGTAAAGAAAGAACTCCAGCATATGAAGGACTATGACATCATTGAAGAAATTACAGAGCCAAACTTATCAACCATGGTTCTAATTTTGAAGCCAGTCAGAGATGCCCTTTATCTCTGTGAACCTCAAGAAGCTAAACCAAGCCGTGTAGAGAGAGGGGGAAAGAGAGAGAAAGAGTATCTGTCTATATTTCTGAGATGGGGTATTATGTACGCTATTTATATTATTCGGACTATTGTCCTCATCTTTGTCACCATATTTATTACAATGTTTCGGCCGTTGTACGCTCCGGCCTTCTTCAGACGGTTGGAATGTCGAACTGAACCCTTTATTTCGCTCACTGGAATAGACTGTTCTAGTTCCACGTGCCATGTCTAATGGATGTCAGTTATCAGTTATCTCCTGTTAATTCCCCTCTCTAAGTTCTTCACCGCCTTAACCAGATATTGAACTCACACTCTTTGGGTCCTGTCACTGGATCTAACCAACGCCTTTATCCACTGTGCCATGCGTCCTTGAGATAAAGAGAGATGTCATTCCTACATTTGACGGACATCATTCATCAGATCGGGGGTTTTACAGTATTTCCAAAACTGGACGCTCGGTCTGTTTTCTGACAGATTCCAGAGACTGCCAAACTGACAACGTTCAAAACGCCTTTTGGAGGGTTTGTCGAGTTACCTCCTCCTAATTTTCGAAACTACTACTAGGGGACGCTTTCCAGCACTATAAATATTCCGCCATAATTATTCGCAACTTTTTACGTCAACATGTAAATTTCTCGCGGAAGAACGCGATTATAATGCGTTCCCTTTTGGGAAACGCATGAACAATACATACTCACATACGTACGATCGCACATTCACTCACTTCACATACTCTGGACTATTAGGCTTTCACATTCATTTGAGACACATACATCTTTGTCTTTGTCACTTGTAAACTTTTGTTGTTAATACATTATTATTTGTTTGTCCATATGTTCTTGTTTCTTTATATTTCTTTACATGGATCCACATCCCGAGTCTGCCATGTTTGTTGTGGGCATTTCAGGAGACACACGTCTTTATCTTTCAACACATACACCTACTACACTGGTCCGCAACAGGTTCTAAACAAAGAGAGTCTCTATCGAGATCCGTTCAACACCAGAAATCTTCATAAAGAGAGCGTCTAAGATCCTCAAAAGTTTTTTGTTACTTTGATGATATTCTATGTCATACCAAGACGCCAGCCCAGAACGAAACACCCCTGAATCAATTTCATCGGCGACTGAAAGGAGCAAACCTCGAGCTAAACTACGGCAAGAGCGAGTACCGGAAGTCCCAAATCACCGTTCTGGGATATGATATCGACTCGCGTGCCCACCACCTAGAGAGATCAAAATCGAAGCAGCCCAAAAACCTACCTAAACCAACTGATGTTGCCGAACGGACGAAAATTGAGTATGGTGAACTAACTTCGCTGGTACTTTACTCATCTGTCTACTGTTCAACGAACTCTTAGGCAATGAGTCAGCATGAACATTAGCAGCAAGTCACGACGTTTCCTAAAGTGAAAAGTGCTTACAACAGCACCGGTACCTGCCTACTTGGATCCAATCAAGAAAACCATCATCGAAGCTGACAGTATGGTTTGGTTGGATGTTTCCTTAAAGAGCACGGGGAAGGACTGAAACCGACAGCATTCTATTCAAGAAAATTGTCAATCACAGAATAGATATACACGCGCCAAAAAATGCCTCGCATCAGTGTGGGCTTGCGAACGTTTTGGAAGATACCTGATAGTATTAGAGAGCTTTAATCTGTGCAGTGACCACAAACCACTCGTCCTACTCATCAACTCTAAAGATATATCCCGAACAACGCTGAAATGTCAGTCAGCGCATGCTCATTCGACTGATGCGCTCCAAGCCGATGGCCGAACATCGACCACGAAAGAGGATGACCACTTCAGATACCTTGTCACAAAGCCATACTGCCTGCAGAGATACGGAGAGCAGTCGACTTTCATGTCAATATTGGGGCTTCCTCTAGGCCAGTCTCGAACGATAAGTTGAACCAAACCAGACAAGAGACCAGAACAAACGCGAGCTTGAAGGCAGTGCTAGATTACACAAGGGTTGTTCTATCTACAGACAAGATGTCAGCTTAAAAGCCTAGAACGATGGTTGGTTGGTTGGTTGTTTTTGTTTAGCGGTATATCAATACCTCTATGGGTTATTTAATGCTGAAATCTAAATATTTTGTACGCAATTTTATGCCTTCAGATACATATATTTTGTACATAATTTAATACTTTCGAGGTTAATGTATGTTTTTAGGTTTATAGACGAAAAATTTAGCATTTTTTATGTATTGCTAGTAATTTCACTAGAAAATGCATTGTTGGTAATTTTACTATAAAACTGTACTCTTAATTTTTGTTTTGCGGGGCTTGCTATTTGCCCATAGCTGGGACCGTAATAAGTGCTACCACCCCAGGTTAGGATGAATCTGGGTACAACAGCAGTTAAGATGTTTCACGCTCATCAAAGTCTCCAATCTCCTGATCAAAGTCTTTGCTGCCAGTTATGGTTTATCGTCATACCCTTGATGGAGCCCAGAGCGAGCTGAGCGCTGTTGATGGACTGCTACTAAAGAGATACAAACACTTCGACGATGGACATATTGGCATTACGAAATGTCGAAAATGGGAAAACCAAGGGGATTTGTTGGCTTGGAATATCAAAGGATATTCAAGATAGCGTCACAGCATGCAAACACTGCCTTGATAAGGGTTCAGTACTACCAAGCGAAACCATGCTGCCATCAACACTACCTAATAAACCATTCCAGCACATCGCTGTTGATAGTTGTGAGCTGAAAGGACAAAACTATTTTGTCTCTGTAGACTAGGTATATTGACATCAACATGCTCAACCAACTTATCTCCAACGCTGTCATCAACAAGATGTCATTTTTTTCAAAACCTGGCATTGCAGAAACTATTGTGTTTTTATGTTTCATTTAAAATCTAAACCCTCTATGTAATCTCGAGGAGTAATTGTTCTCATTCTTCTATGTCTAGTGATTTCTAGTCTAGTTTTTATTGTTTTGTGGGACAAGGAGCATAGTAATTTAATAGGAATTAAATCCTATATACATATTTCGACCAATAAAATCCTATCAGAAGATTTGTTTGATAAACAATCATTACTTGGCCAAATACCACCAAAATTCTTGGTGGACGTAGCTGTAGACCTACCATGTGTTATTTTTGGACCATTAAAAAATAACAATAATAACTTCTTTCACCACTCCTACAAATTCGAGAAAAAGATTTTCATGATCCAGTGTGAAATAATTTTCTAACAAGTGAAACCTTATATTCACAAAGTTCACATTTCTATATGAAATTAGGTTTCGGATCCCCCCTTACGGATATAAAAATAGAAACCTACTTCTCCTCGGGGAATCAAAACAATTTCAGAGGCCAGTTTGATCTACAAGTGCATACCCACCATATGGAATTTGAACACGATGGAAGAGATGAGCCAGCAACTACAAACTAAGCTTTTGTCTACGCACTCATGAACATATTAGGTTAATTGTCATAAAGTAAGATTTCACACCATGCTAAGAAAACTTAATTACTTTATAAGACAATCTTCACTGCAAGGAAAACTGAACATTTTTTTGTTATTGTATATTTCTGAAAAGAATATATGTTATTTCAACTGGTGTTCTGCTTCTATTGTTCCTTCAGAAAATAATCCTTTTTATGTTTCATTTAAAAGATGTGTGTTTTGTTGTTAAATGTTTGGAATCCCAACACTCAGATAACAACAAAAACCTGGGTAAACGGTTTCGACATCGGTTCCACAGAGCAGGAGTTCGCAGAAAGAAGCTGCTTGAATGGAACTTATTTCTGACCATGGGAATACGGAGGGAATGAGGGTGGTTTTTCTACAATGTAAGTGACATGGTGGGTTTTAGCCGTAAAGTTTCGAACAGGCGGAACAAAGGAATGCAGTTCGTCCAAATGCTTTCCATGGAAGTAACAACAGAGCAGTGAGAGGATTGCTACATCCCATCTGTGAGAGAGGGGTTGCGGGATGGAAAATAATTTGTCACCCACAAGAGCACAGAGATTTCAGATTCTATCGAGACTAGAAAGTGAGGACTGGGCAACTCCTGCCCAAATATGACAGCCTTGCAAAGTTATAAACTTTTTGGTTGTTTTTTTTTTTTTTTTTTTTTTTTAAGCTTTTCATCCCCAGCAAGGTGGGGGAGGGAGTGCCACTAGCACGCAAGGTGTTACAGAGAGTGGGAGCAAGAATAAAGAGGCGTGAAAGTGGAAAGGATGAAGAGAAGGACGGAGAATACATCAAGGCATCTGGTGATGTCGATTGATATTGCATTTGAATAGTTGGAGATTATAGCTATCAGGGAAGGAAGTAAAAGGAAGAGAGTTCCACAGACGAGAAATGCGAGACATGAATCTATTGGAATAGAAGAGGCGACTACATTTAACCGTTTCGACAGTGAAAGGGTGGGACTGAGATGCCGACCTAGTGGCAAGTTTGAAATCATTCAGTTTGGGAACTAGCGAAAGTTGCTCGTCGGAGCAGTTACCGTGAAAGTATTTGTAGAAAAGACAGAGGGATGCGACGGCACGTCTGTGAGGGAGCGACTGTGAACGAGATGCCAGATCAGGGCCAACTACATTGCATATCTGTCTCTGGATTTTGTTGGAGACCTTGTTGCCTGGTGGAATTAATATCCATTCCAACTTTCATAGACGCTCTTCTGAATCCGGGCTAGCGGAAAAGTTAAATGAAAAAAAAAATTACTTCGTTAATAAGTTTCAAAAGTTGACTGTTAGTATTATTTGTGTCCACTAAATCGTGTTCTTATTGTATTTGACTAAAAGTAGGGGTGTTGTATTCGGTCATTGTCGCAAGGGAGAGAACACTTGATTGTAGTCGAGAACGGACATGCGCAGTAGAAATAAAGGGTTCTTCCTGTCTCAAATGAATCGTGTTGCTTGTTTACTTTAGTTAATGACATGTCTATCGATAATATTGGTCACTAGCACACATCAATCCAAACATGACAAAAGTGACTTTTACGTTATTTCGGACAATGTCAAATTCGCCTTTTTGCCACTAGATTTCGGTAATTTTTATAGCCAAATCTAACACATCTCTACCATTCGTACATGCGCTGAATATTGCTATCATATATAACCTGCTGTTTCTAGTATGCATTTAGAGATTTTTGATAAAAATCAAAAATGGACTAATCTGCCATCTCGGTTCAATCAACTCCCCACTCCCAAAACGTAGCTTCCCTTTGCCTTTTCTATAAATATTTTCCTGGTAATTGTTCTGATGAGCTTTCCTCTGATACATATGGGAACTAGTTAGGACTTCGTAGAGACTTCGAGGTATTATGGTGTGTGACGTCACCCTGCGCCTCCCCCGTGCTATCCTGTGCCGATCTAATCCCTGGCTGATTCGGATGGAAATCTGGTTAGATTCGGCATCAGCTTTGTCGTTCCCAGCTCGCCTCCAACATCTGGTTACCGAAGTAACTTCTTTGATTTCTAGTCTAACCTACCCACGTTGTGATTTGATCCTAGGTAGACGAAATCAATCAGTCGTCGGGCCGTAGTGCAAACTGAATTCGAGCAAAGGTGACACCGCACAAGCATGTGTAAAAGAACAACACGAAAGATTCAAATGTGTTAGAAAAAAATAACAAGTATCTTTATATCTGGTTTCTGAATACAGGACTGCGTCTTTCTCCCAAACCGCTTCTATGGATACGTGACACTTTGCGTTTGTTAGGCGAGTCTTAATATCTTAAGTTGTTTTTCAATTAACTGGTTTTTTGGTGTCTTCAGGCGATATTCGTAAAACTTGTTTTGGTGGAGTGAGTCCAAGTCGTTCTTCAAAAAAAAAGTTGTTTTTGGTTAGAAGTCTAAGTCGGAATGCGTGGATATCTTTCAGTCAGCTGCGAGGCTGGTCTCCGAGCTCACAACTCAACTCTGTCTGCTCTGTCAGCGTCTGCCCAACTGCTACTGTCTCTGCCCTGTAACTAACTTTGCTCTGTGGACGTTCGTTTATATGGACGCCGACCAAAACCGGTGGGGGCCTGTCGTGGTTTGGGTTCCTCGATAATTCCAAATGCGCACTAAAGATTTTCTTTGTTTTCGGACAGGAAAGTCCATTACTTTCTGTTTTAGAGGGGTTCTTAAGGAAATTGTCCTCCCAAATTCTTCCTTTCTCATATTGGCATCTCACACCAATCCCCTCAGAGGGCGTCAGGTTTCCCTTCTTTCTCATAGTGGTATCTCACACCAATCCCCTCAGAGGCGTAAACAGGTTTCTCTTCTTTCTCATATGTTTACCTTCACCCATCGCTCACGCCACCATTCAGCCAATGAACGCTCGGCAGTGTGCGTGTGGCTAGACTGGCCTCAATTTTTTTTTCTTTGAGCGATAATTGTAAACTATCTTC